ATCAGCTGTGACTAAGATGGGGAGTTTCGGATCGTAGTGTGTTAGTAACAATTCTGAGCTGAGGAGACTCTCTAACTTTTTTACAGCTTCATCACACTCTGTGTACCAGACCCACGGATGATCTTTTTGTAACAGGCGGTTGAGTGGTTCGCGGATGTTGTGTAATGATGGCAAGAAAGCTGAATAGTAGCTAATCATTCCCAAGAAAGAGCGGAGCGTAGACACATCTTTCGGAGCTGGCATCTGCTTGATTGCCCAAATGTTCTCTGGGTCAGGCCGTCGTCCATTTTCATTGAAGATAAAACCGAAGTACTTTACAGGAGTGAGGAAGAACTGACATTTTTCCGTTCTTAGCAGTAGTCCACTGTCGTCGAGCTTCCGGAGCACCAGCCTCACTCTGCGTCTTAACTCCTCTGGAGTAGCTGCGACTATAAGAATATCGTCCAAATATGTAGCAACTCCGGGAATACCAGCTAACAATTGCTGAAATATAGCAGGAGCCGTCTTGATACCAAAAGGCAACCTGTTATATTGATATAACCCTCGATGGGTATTTATTGTTAATAGCTCGCGACACTCCTCTGACACTTCGAGCTGCAAGTATGCATCAGCTAAGTCAATCTTCGCGAAAACTTTTCCGCCGTTCAGAGTGCTAAACAAGTCGTATAGTACTGGCAATGGATAATGGTGCTCTTCTAGGGCATTCAGACCTGTTGAGAAATCAGCATAAATGTGGATGGAACCATTCGCTTTTTTAATAACCACTATGGGGGCTGCCCACGATGAATGTGTTACTGGAGTAATAACTCCTGCTTCTTCTAGTCGTTGCAACTCGGCCTCCACAACTTGAAGTGAGGCATATGGAACAGGTCTTTTTGGTCGAAAAACTGGCGTCGCGTCAGGTCGCAATGTTAAAACAGTTTTCATAGCGTTGCAACATCCCAGACCTGACTGTAACAAAGCTCTAAATTCTTGGATTAATCCTGAGACCATCTGTTTCGACTCAGACATCACTTTCAGTTTTTGAGCAGAGCCCGTCTTACTGGAGCTAACAGTTGCTACTTTGTTGCTACCAGACATCCAAGCACTTTTGGCGCAGCCATACTCACTATGACGAATCGAAGTTGGTGTTTCATTAATCACGTCATTCTTTATAATGGGTTTAGGTCTAATATATCTGTCTCTTATTTCTGGCTTTATTGTTGAGGGCTGGATACTTTCGATCTTGTTGCATACACTGCTTAACGGAATCTCTGATAGGTGCAGCTTCTCGAACCAGTCTTAACCCCAGAGGTTGTGGTTTGAATTATTGATGTAGCATGTGCCGACGAAATGACTATTGCGAAAACCAACGCTGCATTTTATTTTTCCATTGAATAGAAGTCTTCCACCACATGCACTAAATGCTATCTGATTTGTCTTCTCTATGGCAGGGCATCCCAACTTCTGCCATAATTTCTTTGATATTATTGTAATATCGGATGCTGTGTCGATTTGTAGGCGTGCCGGCCGTGTATTAATCGTCAGATCGATATATTTGTGAGGTGCCGGAGTACTAATATGATATGTGGCAGTAACGCTCAAAGACTTGGGCATGTGGCGCCGTCTGGGTCGACTACGAGATCTGGGTTGGTTGTTGCGTTTGCAGCAGCCATCTTTGTGACCAACAGTATGGCATCGACGGCATTTATGCTGTTTGAATGGGCACAAGTTTCCAAAATGCCAGGAGCCAACCACAATGCCAGCAGGCTGATGGTGGTTTATGCTGAGGATGAAGCGGTGCGGTTGATGTCGACGGTGCTGGATGCACCGCATGCACTTCTGCTGCATTTTGGCTGCCAGACTGCAACAGGACGGTATCGTTATGAATGTTGATTAAACGCTGGTATTCTTCACCGACGTCTTTCAAAGTCATTCGTGGATCTTGTTCCAGACGATTTAATAGGCGTGTGCGTATGTCAGCAAACTTGGGGGACTGCAAACCACAAATGAAAATCAATACCTTGAACTGGTCTTCTGAGAGCGATTTCAATTTAAAACGTTCACACGTGCGATTGACTATACCCAACTGAGTATGGATATCATCATTTTCGTTCAGAACTAGTTTCATGCAATGATATCGAATGTTGAATAAAGATCTCTGATCACCAAACTGATGACGAAGGGTATGGACAGTTTCATCGAATGATCTTTCGCTGGGCTTCTGTGGGAGAATTAAGTTGCAATATTTATCTAGCTCATCTGCTCCCAATTTACGAAGTAGAAACCGCCGTACTTTCCAGGCATCATCTTTATCCGCAAAGTTTACTCGAAATAGGTCTTCATATCTGCGAAACCAGGTATCAAAAGTCACGTTCGCATCTGGATCATAAACGAATTCTGAGATGCTACTACCAATGCTGTCGTTGGCTGTAGATGAATCGGTAGGGCGTGATATCTGCAAACCAGCAAGCATTTCCATCATTTTTAGCTGCTGTTCCATTAGTTTCTCTAAACGCAGTGGGTCCATCTTGAGCAAACCCGTCGCCAAATTTGTTATGTATGAATATTATGACCTTGTAGACTACGAACGAATCTAACTGAATGCGCTGGCTAATCTGTCCTAATCGCACATCAATAACAACAATAACGCCGGGCTTGCAATACAACGAAAGAAGACTAGAGGTTGATACGAGAGCTTTTACTGTCACTACAAGGAATAAAAATAAATCGTTATTATCGTGCTATTATGATAGTTCATTTTTTGTTCCATTAAAGCATTATTTGTTCGAGTTAATTTTGTATTCCGTATAAATTGGCTTATATTGAAGTGAAGTGTCCCTTTTTTGTTAATATATCGACTCTTAGTACGGACGCCTTGACGCTTTCTGAAGATTAGTAGACTGTTATTTCGTGCATTGTGACTAGTAGTATTTGAATGCACCAAGTAAATCATGTTGGTAAGATGAAATTGTTTGATTGAATACTTTACCGACAGAAGACAACAGCCAGGCAACAGATTGTTTATTGAGAAAATCAAGAGATATTTATTAATTTTTATGTGCAGTTTTGTTAGCAGAGAAGCCACTTCTTCTGATTGGTTGTTTTCTTGCTGAAGGTTATTCTGTACTGCCTCTGACCCTTTCTGAGATAGTTAAGCCATATATCTGCAAATCGTATTTGCACACGTTAAGTCTGCTGTGATTAGTTGGTGAGTTCCCCAAGGTTAAGCTTTGTTATTGTTTTGCTCATGACCCTGATCTGGGACGTAAACACTGATGTTAATTGTTGTCTACAATTTTGGCCTGTTGTCAGCCAGCTCTCACCACAATACTAGGTAATAAGTAAGTAGTGTCACGCGTTTAGTCCGTTGTTTGATGCAGATTGAATTCCATCAATCAATTTTGCAATGTGGCTCACCTCTACGGTGCATTCTGAATTGTTGTAATTAAATGGTTGGAGGTATTGGACAGGAAGCCTTGTCTGACCTAGGTTTCGTGCTTTTTGGCACCGGCTGTCAGAAAGGCGTATCTGCAACCTTGAAGGAATTCATGTCCCCACTAAGATTCCAATCGGTATCTGAATGCACCGTAATGGTGAGCCACCTAGCACGGTGGTCACATTTCAAACTCGACTGATAGAATCTAATCTGCACCAAACAAAAGACTAAACGAATTACACAAGATACCTACTGCCTAGTGTTCAATCAAAGCATCTAATACAGTCGTCCTACAGGAGGGCAATCTCGAGCCCGAATAGCTCAGTGATGACGTCTCTGATTGCAACGCTGGGTTTGAATTGCCTTCAATGCTGCAGATACTCCTTTCTGGCAACCAGTACCAACGAACACGAAACCTAGGCAAAGAAGCTTCCTGCCAATTACCTCCAACCATCTAATAACAAGATAACACTCGTGGTTGAAAACATTCGTCAATAAAATTCCACTTTAAACTGGACTCCACCATAGACTCCTTTCATTAAGGAATCTATTAAATGAAAAATTAGGCTTGTTTGGTAATGTTTCTAATAAAGACTTTAACACATTAACCGTAGAATTTAGTTGCATATTGATTTTTGTTTGGATCTTTACACAACTCTAATGCTCATAGACCATTGAAAATTCAAATTCGTGCTGTTATGTGCCTCAAATGCGTTCAGGTGAACATAGAGAAAACAGATGTGATAAAGATTCCTGGACAAGAACAACAACAACATACAACGATCAGAATAAATGGGAGGAACCTGAAAGAAACAATCTCTTTTACCCACCTACCTGGGAAGCATCGTTTCAACTACAGGCCGAACTGACGAGGATATCAAAGCAAGAATCGGAAAAGCAACACAAGCTAGCTTTCACTACTCTCAAGTCTGTGTGGAGGTCAACAACACTCAGCATCAAAAATAAAATCCGGATTTTCAACTCCAATGTGAAGTCAGTGCCACTCACCATACGGATCAGAGACTTGGCGCGTCATAAAGAGCGTCTCAAACAAACTACAGACCTCCATTAACAGTTGTATACGCTCAATACTCAAGATCAGATGGCCGACCAGAAAAGATCAGCAACAGAGATCTCTGGCAATGAGCGAACCAACCAGGAACCGATTGTGAAACAAATAGGCAGGAAGAAATGGAGATGAATTGGCCATACTCTGAGAAAACAAACCATGAAGTGACATCACTAGACAAGCCATTGCTCGAGTGGAACCCGAAAGGGAAGCGGCGAGTTGGTCGTCAGTGCAAGGGTGACTTGGAGGCGGTCATGTGAAGAGGAGATGAAAACGTGTGGGCAGACTTGGAGCGAGGTGAAGACTCTAGCAGAGAACCGAACGCAATGGAGACGAGTGGTTGAAGCCCTATGTTTCTCTAGGAATTAAAGGAAACAATAATAATAATAATATGTGCCTCAAATGTAAACTTTATTATTCTTCATGACAGGGTCACAGAAGTTTATATGCTTATTCACATTTAAGTACATTTTTTTGTATATTGATTACCTTATGAATTTATAATCCTCACAGGTAAATTCAGTTTGGCAATGTCAAATGATCTGAACAATAATAATAATAATGCCTCATCCAGTGTAGCTGAGTGTATTGAACGTGTAATGGCTGAATCTATTCAAGATCGTATGCATTTTCTACCTATGCCTAATGATTCATCACCATCTAGCAGTGTTAATATTGGTATACAATTACAGAATCACTCTAACAATCAACAGCAACAACAACAACCTCAACAGTTAATTAATGCATCACATCTTTTAGAATCCACACGTCGTTCTACCTCTACACATATAAAAGCTTCTTTATTACATCCATTATCACGTTTTCTTATTGTCCCATCATTGCTTCATTTATGTCGTTTTGAACTGTTACTGCATGTACGACATGATCATATTGATCTGCTACCATTACCTCCGAATATATTACGTTATTTAAAAGAAAGTAAATATTATGCAGAAATTATTCCAGCCTATCTAGATCTTTTAAGTAATGAAAATACAGTTAACACTTGTAACAAAATATTATAATGCGTTAACAAGAATTTTACACTATATTAGCAATACTAATGAGGTAATGTTGTTGTTATGCCAACAGTAGTATAATAAACATTCCACAATTGTTGAGATATACACCCAATTGATGCAAATATCCTTACAAAGCATATGTAATAATATTGTGTTATGACACATAATATGTGTATGGGTGTGAATGCGTGGGTGGGTGTGTATGTGTGTGTGTTTGCGTGGCATAGAGCGCACAATTCAAATACCACACTTCAAATCATTTTCTTTCTTCTTCTTCGTTTTTTTAGATAAATATTTTTTATTTTGATAAAAGCAAAAGGAAATCTACTAGAAACCGTGATCGTTTCGTTTTTTTCTCCTTTTTCTGCTTCTCTTGATGTCTAATATGGCTTTCATAATTTCACTTTTGGCGCTTGTCTTTTTGTCTTAAAATTTGTACCAGAAATGAGTAATCTAGTCGACTTCTTAGTTTTACAACTTCACATAGAATAGAGATACTTAAATTCTCTTCAGAATATGTTTTTTTTTGATGAATCCTACCTCATACTACTACTGCATTTATACATACATAAACAAAATATGTGCACAAATATTTTAGATAATTAATAATAATAATAATTATTATATGAATTTTTGAATTTTTCCTTTTTTTAAAAAAAATAAGAAATTATAAATCTACTTGTCTTCTTTATCACTGTGAATTATACCGTAAAGTGTATGTTTAAATTTAGCGCATTTATCTGTTTGTTGTCCGTGAACATTGAACACTAGTTCGTATTGAATAATTTACTCTTTTTTGTTTGACTAGTTATTTGTTTGTTTGTACAGAAGGTTAAGCAAAAACACTTTTGGCGTATGATCTCTTGATGTTGTATTCTATTTTTTCTTCTGTTCTGTTTGTTTGTATAAATGTGTAATGGTAACTGTTGTTGTGTACTTCTTGATTACTGGTAATTATCTTTGTTCTTCTTGACTGGAGGATTATTATATTCCTTTACTGTTATTACAACAACGACTGCTACTACTACTAATAAGTTGTAATAAGTAGTAGTGAAACTTCGTGTTATGATTATTTTATTGTTTTAATTTGCTTGTTGAAACCTCTCATCAATTTTGTTTGCTTTATACTTAATATTCAAAATAGCACTGTATTATTTCAACATTACTGTTATTATAATCACATTCAAGATAGACGAGAAATTGGGGGGTGGGGTGGGGTGAAAGATGACAAAGCGTTTAGGGAGAGGGGCGTTATGCAGTAAATAATACTCGTTCACTGTATGATATATCTATCCATGAAACTACATTACCAAAGTTCATGACTTTTGTAAAGTGACTATTTTATTTCGACTAGCGTTTCTAAATAAGTGTGATTACATGAATGAGTTATTCAACTGTCGAGTGTTGTTTATAACTTTAGTCCACTCATAAAAGGCTATAACGTTTTATATAAAGTACAAATAGATTGATAGTGTGAATGACATACTACTTAGAAAAACTTGTTCCACGAGCCTATTTCTGCAGCAATAATTCAAACTGTTACCCCTCGGAGAATATCTAATGACCATGAAAGCTCTCAACTCAATGCAATATCAAAACAAAATAAAAGTGAAAGTGGAAAATTAAAATTTCACGCACGAATTCCCCTTAATGAATTTCAACCTTGACTGACTCAGCAACTGAAAGGCGTTCAACATGGTACTTCACACAGAAGTTAAAGTTTTCCAAATTCATGTCGAAAATAAAGGTAGAGAAGAGAAAAAACATAATTCTAAAGAACTATAGTGGGGAAAATTCTGCGGGATGAAAAATAGTTACAGGAAAAGCTTGAGGACTTAATGGATATCAAATATCACAAAGAATGAGTACATCTGCGCCACTGAGAGTTTATGAGCAGTATCCCCAACAGTCTCAAGTTATTATTTGTTAGAATCCTGACAAAGCCAACCAGACAGCCTACAATCCCCTACGTGACTGATGCAAACCAACTGTCAACGATTTTACAGACTGATGTCAGGTTTTGGTTTGATCACCTTTAACTCTTTCTCAACATAATTCTGTGTCAGCTAACATTGCTTGATGAGGAGAGTGATGGCTCCGCATGCGCAACACATCTCCTAGCTATCTCAGTAGGTTTACCTTCACAACCTCATCGATTGACTTACCCCCATCCATACACCTAGCAGCCGACGCCTAACCTCAATTTTATTCGCCACATTAAAGCACATAACAGATACAGATACTTGTGATAAGAGATAGCTAGCCCTTTCATATCTCCCATTTTCAGTGGCCATATCTCAAATCCATAAAGCAGGATGGAGCTAATTGCTGCCTAGTCGGATATCATGTCTGCGCCAGAGATAACATAAGTTGGTAAATGCCACATGATCCTTTTGTATGAGTGTTGACATTTCGTCGTCCATCAGGGTTGATGCAACTTCTCAACCAAATGAGATGACCAACACGCCTAACCACTTGTATTCCTGTCTTTAACCCAAGAGTTCGTGCAGGCCAGTCCTTTAGCGTCATCTTATATTTGACGAGGAGAATCCCATCCCAAACATCTTAAGATTTGTGCTGAATTTTCTCAGAAGACTCTGCGTTTTGTCAGCATCTTCACTTGGCAGGTCAATGTCAGCCGTATACTCTACAATGATAATAATGCATCCTGATAACAAGGCAATTCCTCAGTTGCTAAAGTCGACCAGAGTCACATCAATTCAGTTAAACAAAGATTAAAACATCGTACGTCTCTGCTGCTTGTCATCGCTTCAGACGGCAACTCTCTATAAGTTATTAGTCAGTTGCAGGAGTCCAAGTAGAGTGTCTTGATTAGTGCAATAAGATATCTAGACACGCCCCAGTTTCCTTCTAACCATTACGGTATAGAAGGCTACACCTATTGGTGATGTACTTCCTCAGGACACCCTTCATGGCCAAATATTTTCAGAGCACCTCTAGGCAGACAAAATCGAACGCCACCTTTAGGTCAAGAAATATAGCAATTATTTGACGCCTCTAAGAATCCTTATTTCCAGAATCTGTTGAGAGGTGAAGATATTTTAATTATACCCTCTTCATGGCATAAAGGAATAACAACGTATGTAGCAAGATAAAACAGATCGACTTTATTTTGTCAATACCTTATCAACTTCTTACAGTGTGAATAAGGAGAACAACTAGTTCGTATTTGCAATTTTAATATATATAAGTTCATTGGAGATAAAATGCTGAGCAATAAGAATGATAACATTACATAGGTAAATCGAAATATTAGTTTACTCAACTATAAAACTATTGGTGTGATTATAAATTTAACGCGCCAAAAGTTTATCGAATAGAATACAAAAAGTGGGAAGTAAAAGTAGTAACAGGATGTCCAGGTGCATAAACTATAAGATTACGCAAGTCACTAGAAAATTGTTAATCAACGAATTGTGTGAGTTAAGTTCATTAAGTTAGATATCAGACATATGAGGCATACCGTTTAATGTATGATGATGTAACTAAACAGAAGTGAAAAGAAATCAAAATTTGTATTGAATGAAATATGACGTTACCAGTAAAGGATCTAGTAAGGTAGAGAAAGACTTACTACAGCTTCTTATTGAATACATAAATCAGGTCTTAACTGTTTAATAGCTATGACCTCTGTGAACTTTAGCAGGCTTGAGGTCATATATTTATTCAATATTTTGAAGCAATTCAAGGTCTCTGTATCATGTCCCATGTTGATGAGATATCGCGTTAGTGTACTACCCAGAGATTTATTATTCTCTTTGGTTTCCAGTGGAACATAGGACTTCAACAACACATCTCCACTTTTTCCTGTTCTCTGTGGTACTCTTCATCTGGCCCCACGACTACAATAATCTCTCATTTCCTCCTCCCATTATCTCTTCGATTCCACCTTCGCACACCTGACCAACTCGTCATTTCCCATTCGGGTTCCACTCAACCAATGGCCTGGTGCACGAAGTCATTTGACGGCATCCTCAGCGAATGCCCAATCCATCTCTGTTTTCTTCTGCAGATTTGTTGAGCGGCAGATTCTCAGTTGGTTCATTTCCAGAGTTACTTGTTACCGGCATTTTTCTGGCCATTTGATCTTCAGTATGAAGCCAGAGAACACAACTGTTGATAAAAGTCTGTAATTTGTTGGAAATCCTTTTCATGACACGCTGGTAAAGTTCCTGACTTGCATAGAAGAAATGACTGACTGACTGACTTCATATTTGCATTGAAGATCCAAATCTTTTGCTTAGGCTGGCTGTGTGTGGAAGATTTCCAAATTGGTTTCAGATAAATGAAGGTGTATCTTGCCGTTCCAATTCTGGCCTGCTTTGACATCTTCATCCGTTCCACCGGCCTGTGATTGAAATGATGCTTCCTGGATAAGTGAAGGAGGCAACCTATGATAAATCTCTACCATTGATGGTGATTAGTGCTGGTTGTTGTTTCTGTTGGTTGGAAGTCTTCATCACCTCCATCTTCTCTATGTTCACCTGGAGTCCTATCTTAACTGCCAGCTTCTTCAACCAGTTTGATCAAAGATTTACTCCCTGCTGATAGCAGAAAATTGAGAAGTAAAATGTGAGTTACTCATAAGTAGCTTGGTGTGTTTTGATGATTTTTGCAGTATAATGTCATAGTCAAATTATTATTATAAATGCACGAGCATTTATAGGTTTATATAACACTAAAAAATCACCATTTATATGAAATTAAAAGGTTTTTGTATAAAGCTTGTGTATAGTCTACAAAGAAAGTAATCATCAGTCTACTTCACTGACATTAATAAGCAGCAAATATTTTCCAAACATATTATGATAACGATGATAGAAAATTGTAGTCACTGTAAGGTAATGAATAGCATTCGGTTCTCGGGAAGCAGTAAACATAGTTTTCATGCTTATTTACACTAGCATACAATCTCCATTACCAATACTGCTTCGTACTTTGGAACCGGAGCGAGCATCATTGCAGAATTTTTCTTACAGCAAATTGTTCCCTGCTAAATCTGGAGATATAGTGAAGTTACTGAAATTATGAACTGTGTACAAAAATTTGTTTAAATCTTTCAGACAGAATAAAACGTGGGTGAATTCAGACCTAGGAACCAATTAATAAATTATTTCGCTAATCTGTTTGCCTCACTTCAACTCACATGGATAGATAAAATTTGAAAATATACAAGCCGGTGTTCACAAAAGATGTAAAGTTAGTCATTAAGTAATCATAGATGTAATAGGTTGGTCATTAGAATTAATGAGCATCTGAGTAAACAAAGTGGAGACTAGGAGAGAGAACGCTGTACAGTTGGATTTTACTCCGTATGGCATACTGCAAAAATCATCAAAACACATCTAGCTACTTATGAGTAGCTCATATTTTACTTTTCAATTTTCTTCCATTAGGAGGGAGTAAATCTTTGATCAAACTGCTTGAAGAAGCTGGCAGTGAAGATACGACTTATTAACAAACGAAAAAAGCGTTTGATTAAGTTTATCCTTCAATAAAATAGTATAGATTATCGTAGATTATTTCATAGGGGCACTTCTGTATTATACAATATAGAACGTTCTAAAGGAAGAAAAAAATGAACGCTAGCAGTGATAAGGTATTCAGACTTTGGGGAAATTTTATTAATGCATCAATTCCTATTACTGAGTCATCCGACACGCTGATTTGCAATCACTTTTTACTTCAAAGACTTAATTTCAGAGATATGAACGAGAGGATTTGTTGCTCAAGTAGATGATTTCGATTTGGTTATGTTCTCTGAGCTGGATGATTTATTTGCGGAGCTTTCATCGCCCTAGCAGGTAACATCTTCAGCTCATACTTCAATTTGAAGTGAGCTTTTAAATTTCTCCACGAGTTTATAAAAGGCACCTCTCTCAGTGACCTTGAACGCGAATGGTTGTCTTTGTGTGTTTTCACACCCTCTAGGCTACTTGTAGTGGTACTGATTGTTTTCTTGACCTGAAGTATGACTCTTTGGGTTTGAAGTATGCGCTGAAGATGTTGCCTGGTAGGGCAATGAAGGCTTCAAAAATAAACCACCCAGCCCAGAGAACACAACCACATCAAAAAGACTTAACTTCTACTTAGTCATATATTGCAGTTTGACACATACATTCCGATCAATGTT